TTCTTTTATAGAAAAATGGTTTCGACAAGGCTTTTCCTTAACTAACTGTATCTTTTAATGCCATGATATATACCTTAAGTTTCCTCTAACCTATTCTAGCAAACCAATTTATAGCAATAATTGATTGCATTATATTGAAAACTAGAGAGTATAATGTCATATTGGGTGCCTAATATAGTAGCACAAATGTAGTTCTGAAATCTTTAATGTAGATTTTTTTTCTATTTTATTAAATAAAGTTTCAACTATGGCATTTGCAAAAAAAAAAAAAAAAATATCAGGATTCTATTTATATTTATTAATCTAATATTTATAGTTATTAATTAAATAATATTTTAAATTATTTTAAATAAATTATTTTAGATATTATTAATCAAAATTTATATGAAATTGAAAATATGAGTTTAGATGAAATTGAAGAAGATGACTTATATAAAGTTGAAGACAATTTTGAACAGATTGATTTAACCAAAATTACATCAGAAGAATCTAGTAATGATTATGATTCAGATATTATAGAACTTAATAAATCTGTACAAGAAAATAAAAAAGATACAAATAAACTATGTAAGTTATTTAAATATTAGTATAAAACTTATAATTTTAATTATTAAAATTTAATTTTATATTATTATATTTAGTATTTGTTTCTTTATTATGTTTTAATCAATTTCAATTTCCAAGGAAAAAAGTTGATAGTGCTATTAAAATTTCATTTAATTTAGAAAATATTGAAAGTTTTAATGATATTGAAAATTTAGTTTTTTCTAGTAATTTTTCAGAATCATGGGGCGAAATTCAAACTGGTTTAATTTGTTATCAAACAACAAGTAGTGCTAAAGCTGATCATTATGATCTTAGGCAGAATGAAACTATGATATCTTTTTTAGAAGAAGTTAAACATAAAAAAAATATTCAATTATGCATTTATCAAAAAAAAAACAACAAAAAGAAAATTATTAAAATATGGAAGTTTATTAGTTGAAGAAAATGAAGAAATTGTTAATAAATCTAAAAAATCTAAGGTATATATATTATATTTATTATATTTTTTAAGAATTTAATACCAATTACAATTATTATATTTGTTTATTAATAAAATTTAAATATCTATAAATATAAATTATAATATTAGATTAAAGAATCTGAAAATGAAACTGTTGAAGCTATAAATATTGCAATACAAAAAATATATAGTAACTTAGAAGCATGCAAAGTTCATACTGAAGGTTGTTTAAAAGATGAAAATAATCGACATTTAAAATTAGATAATCAAATGATTAATACATGGGCTAGAGCAATAGTAATAATATAATTTAATAATATAATTTATTTTAATAAATATATATTATATTAACTAAAGTATAAATATTTTTTATAGGTTGCTAAAATATCAAATGTAAATGAAACTATGCCTCCAATGTTTTCTCAATTTAACAAAAGCAAATATAAATCCTTAATTATAAAAAATATATCACCAAAAATATTAAATAATAGTAAAATTAATTAAATAATAAGTTTAACTTTTTAATAATATTTATATTTATAGATTTAATTTAAATTTTTTAAATTTATTTAGATAACGATTTAGATGAAAATTTAGATTTTAATATGTGTAATACATCTATTGCTATATCGGCTAAGCAAACTAAATCAAAATTTCAGTTTGTAACAATTCATACTAAAAAAAAATCACCATTTAAATCTAATATTTATATTACACAAGAAATGACATTTAACGACCTTATTAATTATATATTTCCTGCTGGAGCTCCAAATGGTAAAAGATTTATATTTAAATCTTCACTTGACTTAGATAGTAAACATTATTTATCTGAACAAATAATAAGTCAAATATCAATTGAAGAAAATCTAAATATTTGGATAGATATTGAAACAATTGATATAAATTTTGATGAATATTTTTAGTAAATTTTTTAGATTTAATATAAATATTAAATTTCGATATTTTCACAATTATATTTTAATATATGTAATCTTATAAACTATTCTATCAATATTAATAAAGAACTAGTATATGTCGTGTAATAGCTTCACCATCAACTAATAATTAGATATAACAGCGTATAGTATTAACAAATATTGACAATTTTATAATACTGTCAACCCTCCCAAAACCAATTGATAATCTGCTATAAACGATTAAAATTTGGTTCACCATGTCAGTTCTATAAATAATATCCAATAACATGTCATTTCTGATATCCAATAGCCAATTTATTTAAGTTTCCAATATGGTTAATTATAATTGATGTTCTAAGCACGTTCAATCAAAACTAATCACCAGCCAACATACACATAATCAATTTTTGCAACCTTTTTAAAAACTTTGAATGAAATTTTCTTAATAACTTATATGCAAAATTCTATAAAACTTTTTTATTTTAATTCTACACTTTCATACAATTAAGATAAAAAAACCTTTTATAAATTTTGTCTGATGGTTATTGAGAAAAGTTTAAAAAATCTGTTCCATCTATCAATAAATTAAATGCTTTGGATTTTTTTTTTTAAAACTTTGAGAAAAATTTTCTCACTATCTGACTAAATTCGATAAATTTATTTTATTTTAATTCTATAAATTCACAGAATTAAAATAAAAAAAAATCATCGAATTTGAGCAAGTAGTTGTCTTATCTGACTAAATTCATGATTTTTTTTATTTTAATGTGTAGAATTAAAGTAAAAAACAATTCATCGATTTTGGTTAGGTAGTTTTCGAAAAACTTTGCTTAAAGTTTAGAAAGAATTTGTCCCTTCTATTAGAAGTATAATCGATAATTTTCTAATCAGATCACCTGAATTTTTTTAATTCTATATATCATTATACCTTTATCGAATTTTGTTGGGTGGTTGTCAAGAAAACTTACTTAAGTTTAGAAAAATCTGTCCTGCCTATTAGATGAAAGTTAATTTTTCATTTTGCATTACTTGCCGACCCAAATTTTTCAAAAACTTGAATATCGTTTTAATGAATTTAATTCAAAAAAAAATCAATAGTTATTTAATCAAAATATAAAGACATACAAGAATTACAAAATTCTAATTCAGGAAAATAGTACAATATCGAAACATTTTGGAATGTTACCCTTTATGAATCTGATTTGAATCTTATATAGTTGCGTATGTAAAATTTGTAATTTATTTAACACAATATTATCTGATGATGCTTAATTTGAACTTATTTGTTTAGAGTTAAGTTAGAAGTTAAGGTTAGAGTTCATAATAAAAGGGTATAAGTAAATGTTGATTTTAATAGAGCTCATATTTTCAAATAAAGATACCAAATTTTAGTATCATCCATCTTAATATTATTGCCGTTTATTATCACATTAACACAGTTAAATAATCCCTTTATATTGTTAACTATTTTAAACAAAAAAGTTCTAATTTTTCATTATTCATATTAAAATCTAATGGCTCTATTTTGGTAATCGTGTTTATACGAAAATTGCACTTGGCCATCAATAATACATAATAATGCCTAATCGCAAAGAAGATCCGGAAAAATAATATGCAACAATTTTTTTCCGTATTTAAGAACGATTAAATTATTCTTCCTTTTGGTTTAAATGAATGCTAAAAATTGCAATATTGTCAAAATATTATAGGTGACAAAGTGGTGGCAGAAAAAATTCGCGATCAGGGTGATCGCCGATGATTCTGAACCCTTTCGATGCAGCCCTAAAACTTTATACAAAATTTATGCATTTTTTCAAGAACCGAATATCAGATATACGTGTACCACATAACTTATATCTGATATTCGGTTCTTGATAAATTTTGTATAAAGTTTTCGGGCTCCATCGAATGGTTTCAGAAGCATCGGTCGATCACCTAATCGTGAATTTTTTCTGTCACCACTTTGTCACCTAAATATTAACACATGGTGGACGATCATTCACAGAAAATGTATAGAGTGAACAATTATTTCCAGATTTTTTTTTTGAATATTATCAGTTACACCGCTCTAAAAATCTTGTTTCTGTCCTATAATGTTGATTATCTCTTCTAATTAGCAGTTTCAACTTAGCATTGAACCTAAAAGTTTACAAATTTGCTGGACACCATGCACAAATAA